AATTGCCGCCCTGAATGAGCTGTTGTTAGTACAAATTCTTATTGAGTAAAAATCCTTCTAGTTAAGCCCTCCGAGTTAAGTCCCTGCCACAGCCGTTTTCGTCGGGGGCTTAACTCAAAGTGAATTAACGATTTAAGCATTCGAGTTAAGCCCCGACATTTGGTGGATGTAAACAAGTGACGCGTGTATACTCTCAAAAATATTGCCTTATAAGGATCGAGGGAGAATGTAAAATTTCAGCAATTTTAAGAAATATATTTTACTTAGATCTCTCTTGCTTTACCTACAGTTTTATACAGACAATGACATCGTGAAAAAAGAGAGCTCAATAAGGATATGTAAACAACAGCTCACTCAGGGTGGCAATTACGGCTTTAAAAGCTAAATAATATATAGCGGCACTTGCAGAACGCAAATCTTAGGCACGTTCAATGGAGGCAAGCTAAATTTCTAAGATATATCTCTTCTCCGAAGTACGGGACATGAATACTACAGCTTGACATCATACTGAATTGTTTTGTTAGAAAATGGTTTTACTAGTTAAACTTCATTCTTGATCATTCTGATTTCTGAGAATATCCAAATAGTACATAATCGAGATATTTTAGTTTTGTTTACCGTTGTTGTGATTTGGTTTTGCTTTGCTTTCTTCGAACTTTCCAAGTTGTGTTTGCTTTCTTCGAGTTAAGCCCTTGATGAAAATGGGTGTTGGTTTGGACGTGGTCGGGGCTTAACTCGAAAAGGGCTTACTCGAAGATTACCTACCTATCACAATGCAGGCTTGTGACCGTTTCAAGCAATACACAACTAAAAACGATCAGGTTGTTGCAATATTGATGAAAACAGGATTGAAGAATGTTGTGCGGCCCGATTCAGGCTCAACAATATTGTTCAATATTGTTGACAGCTGTGAACAATCTGGGCGGCACAACATTGTTCAATCCTCCTAAACAAGAGGCTCATAATTTTTATGTGTGTATGATTGGTCTAAATGGAACCTACTTCAAGTAGTAAATTCATGTTTTAAGGAGGCTCCCTACAGTTGACCCTATTTCTCAACATCTTTGCAGTACAGGCCTATTAATGCAGATCGTGCATTCTTTTCTACTTGGAGGCAATATATAACATCTATTTAGAACTTGGTTTTGATACCGTATAGTTAATTAGAAGAAAACACTCACTCTGTTCCTTTTAAAAATATTCATGAAAAATTTCTCAATTCTGATTGGCTAAGAGCAGTGCAATTTCCAAAAAAAATGAAATACAGTACAAAAAAATTAACACAGTGCAAATTTCTTAATTTTTTAATTAATATCTAAACGTGACTTATGCATGCATGTGACTGCATAATTTTTTCATGCATATTATTATTAAGTAATATTATGGTTTCTCATGCAATTTGAAAAAAAGATATGCTCGTGAGTTTTTCTAAGACTGGACTCGTGCAATTTTGCCGGATAGCCTTTGAAACTAACTCAGTCGTGCATGTTTTCTTTCCAAATTCACCAAAAATGCTGACGCCATGGTCCTAGCCAGTGCATGTTTGAGATGCATTCATCCCCCTGATAATATTCAAAATGGCGGATGTCCAGGGGGGATGCCTCTCAAATGCGCACTGGCTAGGACCATGGCGTCATGGTAATTTTGCAGGCGCGTGTCGAAGAATAACATGCAAACATTGAATAGCTGTTTTCTTGTGATAAAGTGCAAATATTTTTATGTTTTTTTTACTTATATTCAAGTTGAAACTCAATGTAAAAAGATAAAGGCAGAGTGAGTGTCGAACTATTATTCCTTCATTATTTATTGTTGGATAGATACAGATATTTCACACCACACTCCCTATCAGGGCTTTCCAGTGACTGGTTACATTGTGAATAGATAGAACAGGACTGATGTGAAGCAGACCGAGGTAGACTTTGAGCTTACAAATGGCGCTTGAGCAGCCGCTATTAGTCCATACCTCATTAATGATCTGCCCGCTGATTTGGATATGTATGGCATATATGAAACTTTTGTGTTTTTTAATTCCAGTTTTCGTTTTTAACTTCTGTGTACATGTTTTGAAGTTGTTGAAAAAAGTAAGGGATATTTTTACTTATTTATATATAAACATTGGCCAAATTTCACATCTTTCCTATTTTTTCGAAATGAAACTGCAGTTTATATTCTTATAGTTCTTACGAGTATAGCGAACTAAGTTTAAAACCTTAGTTTTTCAAAAATAATGAACAATGGCGATACTGTTGCAAAGAATGGTTTTACAGCAAGTTTTAAAAGCGAAGAAAGAAGAGGTTTTTGAATCATCTACAACGAAAATTTGGCATGAAAGGAAAGCAAATGTATTGACGTTTTGGGCCAAGTTCTTCTGTGAACCTTGCACAAGATTTTCAGCCAAAAAGATGAGGATTTCTCCAAACTTTATTAAAAATAGAAGTCGGAAATCACAAGAAAGATGAACACGGAACTCAAGTGAGCAGATACGATATTTTTAAGGGTATTTTTGAGTAGAAATAACACTCCAAAATTCGACCGCATTAAAATTGGTTGAATCTAGTTTAAAGTTATCTTTTTAGATGAACTGTTTATGGAAATTTGGGCACAATTTCGACTGTTTTTGTAACCCCATTGTTGGTCTTCTTGTTCAAGTTGTTATTTTAGCTAAAGTATGTTTCAAACGACACCAGATTAAATTACTGTGTGTGTACATGCCCTTTTTGGCAAGAATACTTCGAGTATTAAATTACACTAAGTAAGTAGGATACTCCAAAATCACTGTTATATCTATTTTCATCAATTTAGTCTTAAAACGACAACTCGTTTCAGAGATATTGTGGTTTAAAATAAGTGTATTGAATTAGTGCGCTTGCTGGCCGTGTGCGAATTTTCAAAAAGTCTGCACTTGAGTTCTAAAGCTTTTAAAACGCTTTTTCTATTGGGTTTTATATCCCCATAAAACTTTAAATCGATAAAGCAGATAATAATGTTGATGCAACCTCATTTTCTAGTAACTACATGTTGAATCAGAAGGAAAAGTTATCAAAAATAGGTCGCGACCGTTGCTTGCAAAATGCCGCTTCTCTCTGAAATGGCTTCCTTTGCGGGAAGCCATGAAATTGAAGTCCTAAAAAAAACATAGTTTAGCAGTTCTTTTGGGCCCATAGCTCACTTATTTATCATGAAATCGCTTCACTAGAACATTTTTAATAATGTCTATGGGAAACTTTGTTATTTTCTGAACTAAAAGTTTATGGTTTTGAGGTGTTTATTTTATAAAATAGCATGCGACAAAATGGCACTAATGTGGTTTCTCATGTCTGACAAACAACCAAAGATGAAAGTCCTTATTTCACCCTTTTATAGCTATGTTGAATACCTGAATATTAGGTTATCTTTTTCATTTGAGCATACAGATAACATTTCTACACAATTAGTCCTTATGAAAGCTTATTTCAAACTAAAAAAAGCGATTGTTTTTTAGAGCCAGACTTCAAAAGAAAACGTGTGTCTGACATTTTATAGCAGCCTACATTGGCACGCAAAATAATTTTGGCTAAAAACCGTTTCTTTCCAAACAGAAACATGAGAAAATTGAGCTAAAAGGCTTACCTGATGTATGTTTAAAATGTTTTTCTCTTTATGGTGTTTTTCAGTGCTTTGAGTAGAGAAGTGAATAACTTTTGGTTTTGTCACCGCAATTTGCCTTTGAAAATGTCGGCTGTCATTGTCTGTGTTAAAAACACCTCAGAAAATTCCTATTTTCTCACCTTCCCATCCTTGGTTTATATTGAAAATAAATAAATTCTAGTACCATATGTCCTTTTAAATATATCTGAGGTAATTAAAAACTCCAAAGATGAACAAGCACTGTATTTTGGCTTGCACATTTTGTTGAATTTTGAACACTTAGTTACTGTTGTAAATTTCATGTTGTAAATATCTTGCCCAAAAAAAGGAAATGAGTATTTTTTATAATTTTTTATCGTTTTCTAATTCATATCCCAAAAGATGAAAATTGGTTATAATATAGATATGTACTAATTTAGACAAATGATTCTTTTTTGGTTTTTATATAAATTTATGGAGATATTGCCTCTTTAGGTGATGAGTGACATGAAAAACAAAGTGTCACTGCTTTAAAAATAAAAATTCTCATTGAAAAAACTAATGATATATGTAGGTATGCAAAGTCATGGTTGAAAAGATCGGATTTTTTTATGCAACTTTGCTATTTTGGTGAAAGCTCTTGAATTCAATCACAAATTCGCCATATTGTTTGCGCCTTAGGCGGGTGGAGACATTGTTACAGCTTGCCGCTTAATGAGTTAAAGAAGAAGATTCTAAGACTTATCTTGCAGGTATGGGACACTTATCACGATGCATGGATTTTTCATATTTAAATTTCTACGTTAAAGGGATACGGCAATATATTTTTTTGTTATTTCATTTGGAAGAACTTTTAAAATTATATGTTACTCTCTTTCACCGATTTTGAGTAACTTTATTATTTCTTGAGATATTTGAACAGAAAAAATCACAAATCAGCGAGCTTTCCGCCATCTTGGATTTTGGCGGATATGCATGTGACATCATGGGTCACGCAAGAATTTTATCCATAGAGCAATTGGTTATTATGAGCCCAAAATCATATAGTTCAGTAACTATTTGAAATAAAAAACTGTCTGACGACTTTTCAAACAAGACATAATAGGCCATCAGCAGGATGGGTAAAACGTTATAAAAATTTTGTTTCATAGGTGGCATATTTTGCATGATATTTCCATATTCATGTCTACCTGTTTGACATCTCATCAAAATTCCCCGTGTTCAAAGTTGATCAATAACTGGATATATGCTTTTAAATTTATACACAAATGTGCAAATTCAGCATCTTTGTTTTGGCAGTCATTTTTCCTCGCCTTCTTAAAATAGTCCTGGGAATGAAGGCAACAGCCAATCATATTTTAGAATTTGTCGCCTAGCAACCTTTCACTTACAAGATGGCTGCTATAAACAAGCAAAGTAATTTGCATTTATGCAAAAGCTTGCCGGAAAATGAACCAGTAGTTTATGCGCTAACAGCCAAGAGGTATGATACTTTTATTGAATATACGAGGCGGTGGAGTACTTTGTGTAAATAACCAGAAAAGACGGTAGCTTTGGCGAACTCTAGATATTTAGAATTGACATTCGAACAGGCTGGTGAGTTGTATTTTCACAAATCGTGCTACAAAAGATACACAGATGATTTAAAGTTGAAGCGTGCAAAAAGTGGAATGGTCAGTATACTTAATAAATTTAATAATATAGGCTGTACATATACATTAATCTTCTAAATTATTTCAAATTATTCGCTCAAAAATATTGTTGTTTGTTAACAATTTATGAAGGAAAGTACTCACGAAGACCATGGATTTAAAAGATTAAGATCGTCGACCAACGATTTAGCCCCTTCAGAAAAGAAAAGATCAAATATTCTACCTTTCACTTGCATCATTTGCCAGAAACAGCTCAAGTGGGTTACTGTAGGTGGAAAGCAAGTTCGTGACAAATTTTCCCAGGCAGAAACTGAGACAGCTGGTCAATAAAATTTAATTTATTATCATCAATATACTTAATGTGTAATTTTGTATTGTGGACGTATAATATTTTCTTGACCCTCCAAGGGCACTGGTTTAATTTTTGCAGCCATCTCCTGTTATGGGCAAATTCATGGCCCACCTCTGTTTGATTGGAATTTCCCAGATGGCAATTGCCAGGAGCTTCTAATTGATTCACCCTGCAACACCATATGTGCTGCTCGCTTGTTTCAAAGTGCTATTTTTAGGAAATCTTCTCTATGCAGCTGAACAAAAGCAAGATGAAAACATTTTGAAGCACATTTGTGACCGTGATTCTGGGGCGGATCTAGGGTAAGTCCAATCAGTCGTGTGACTGACGTATTTTTTGCAAAGAAATTATTAATTTATTATTTCGAAATTTGAATAATTAATTCCCGAATATAATATGAAATTCATATCATAGTCCAGTATACGTCTTTACGAGCTCAGTTTTGAATAAATATATGCTTTATCAAGAGCAGCGGTAAAACGCAAGAATCTCGCAGAATCGGGTGGTCGTTATGCTCATTTGATTGGTCGAGAGGTCATTTGGACTTATCTCGACTGATCTGTGGGGTGGCCGGACTGATTTGCACTTTAAGGGAGTCTTTGTCAGTCCATTTCGTTCCTTTGATTGGTCAATTTGAAAATATTGTGGGGTGGTCGGACTGATTTGCAACTTAAGGGAGTTTTTATGGGGTGGTCCGACTGATTTGCACTTTAAGGGAGTTTTTATCAGTCCATATCTTTCATTTTGATTGGTCAATTTGAAATTATTGACAATTCCTATTGGTTCATTTTTTTGGACTGATTCGGACTTATTCGCGGTAGGGGATATCAGTCCTTGAAAATTGCGAAATTCATGCAAAGCAGTCTTTCATATTCCCGTATATGAAGGTTTTTCATAGTTGGGACAATTATTTTACGATGTTGATTATTTATATGTGCGCGGCCGATTTTACGAGAGGATTTAACGGCCTTTAATAAACTTGAATTGTCTCTGAATGAGGATTATTGTGGGGCAGCTAAGATATCAAGCGAGCAGCTTTTATAATGTTGTTCTGTTCAACAACGAGAAGGCACTAAGTTGGGACTTTTCTGCTACGTGCTTCACAAAGATCATGGTCGTAATTTGGGTGGTAAAGTCAAAGGAAAGTGTACACTGCTATAATGTATGAAAATATCCAAAATTATGAAACAGAAATCAAATGACTATATTGCAATGTTATTGTATCTTGTATGATAAATGCGAAGTTGAAATATAACACGCTTTAATACATTTTTACACGCAATCGACTTGCAACTTATAATGCGCTTTCGGGCCTTATAGCTTTCCTGCTGTATTTATAATTTATAAATGCATTGCCATTATAAAAAGGGCCAGAATAGAGCATTGCCATTGGAGTGTTAAAACAATATAATTTGGATGATTTGCATTGCATGAAAGATTTGCGATGAATATCGTTATAATATACAAGTGATATTTATAGCATATTGTAATTCATTGAATAAAAAATGCATTTTACAAAGTATAATTGAAATATTACTCTTTCTTTTGCTTGAGAATTTTGATTCACAAACAGCGAGTTATATTGGATCAGTCATTGGTATCATATCACTTCAATTTGCAAAGGATTTCATGAGCCAAACTCAAAGGCTATTGAAAGTTGAAACTACATGATGTGTTTTGTAATATGACCCTCCGTTAGTAAATCTAATTCCGAGGACTGGGAGAAGGCACGTTTGTGAGATCATAAAAAAAGCATTTGCTTGATGTACTTTATAATCTTTGGATTTCTGTAAAATCTCACTGCCAAAACGCTTGAAATCGCATTTCAGAGACTCTAGATTTCAAATTTTTCCGGGGGGGGGGTATGCACCCAGACTCCCCTAGCATGTCTCACGCCTTCGGCGTTCGACTTATGTTTGAAAAATCCTAGATCTGCACCTGCCGTGATTGTATTGCAATAGAGGTTAAATACCACAGAAGCTGTTTCAAACAATACTGCAGAGGAATAACCTACACGCAAGAAAGGTATTAATACAAAATGCGATAATGTGTACTTGCTATAGGTGAATGAATTTTAAACCTCAAGGCTTCATCATCCTTTCGGCCAGGTTGTCATTGATGATTATTACTACATATACGTCTTGTACTACCAGACATTGTTTACTTCATTTCATGGTAATAAATGGTGATAATCTTCATTAAAATATGTTCTGTACATTTATTTTCAGTCCTCAAGATAATATTGAATTGACCAGCAATGATATATTCCATTGTCCTTCAGCCAGTGATGAAGATTCAGAACCTAGCCTTTGTGATATAAGTGACATGCCCATCGACAAAACCGACATAAAAAACATCAAACTGTACCATACTGGCTTGGCTGCAAAGAAGAGCATAGCAGATCAATCGGATTGGAATATCAATTGGCCACCTACTTCAGAAGTAATCAGTGAAGAAGAATGTGCTAAACTTGTGCCTGTAGAATTATTCAATCTTTTAGCCCTGGTAACTAATGCCACAGAAGAAGTTCCACCTTCTGACACCTTTGTGGAAGTGACTGATGAGGCAAGAGCTAAACTTGTATCTATTTGCATGGATATTATTTACCTGTCATCAAATGGACGGATACAAACACCGAAGTCTCTTGCTCTGGTCTTACATTGCGACACTTGACTGGATCAACAACAATTTCTAACCTTTTGCACAAGTTTGGACACTGTGCATCCTATGACTCTGTAGTTTGATACGAAACTGGCTTAGCAATACAGCGAATGGAAACAAATAAAACAGTCCCCAAAGGCTTTCGCCCAGGAGTATTTACTGTTGCAGTATGGGATACCATTGACGTGGATGAAGAAACTCTTACAACGCATCACGCAAACGGTATATTAGTACAACCTTCTGTCTCAGAATTTGAACAGCAAGCAACTTCTCTTAACATAAATAGGTCTCAGAGAACGCTTCAAGTAGAGCCTGTTCATATTAGAGAGTTTTAGATTCATGTTTACGGCAAACGTCAAACCGCTAACGAAGTTTTTGATTTTACAAGTCTATTATAACAGCTTTTACACCAGTTTTGAAATATAAACCATTATTAAACTTGTGCTCTTTGGCAATGATTTAAAAGAAAGCAAATTAACCACTAGTCACGTATTCACGAAAGCAGTAAATTATGATTTGGCGTTTGAAGTTTACGTTTGGCGTATAAATTTCATGCTTTAACGACTATACAAGCCCTCATAGCAGTCAAGCATGAAATTTATACGCCAAACGTAAACTTCAAACGCCAAATCATAATTTACTGCTTTCGCGAATACGTGACTAGTGGTTAATTTGCTTTCTTATAAATCATTGCTAAAGAGCACAAGTTTAATAATTGTTTATATTTCAAAACTGGTGTAAAAGCTGTTATAATAGACTTGTAAAATCAAAAACTTCGTTAGCGGTTTGACGTTTGCCGTAAACGTGAATCTAAAACTCTCTAATAATATTGTAATGTAGTGAATTTATCGTCACTCGTCTGAGCTGTGGAATGCCCATCGCTACCTTAATAAATACTTGTCCAATACGCATGGTCTTATACACGGACGGGCTTATTTTCGACGGGGGAGGGGCTTATATTGGGAATGACCTGAATATGTTGGGCTTATACATGGGGGACTTATATTCGGGGGAGAGTTATATTCGGAGGTTTACGGTATGCTATCTGTGAATCACGGTGGCCATTATTATTAATTGACCTAACAGCGCAATCCGGCACATAAGGAAAATATTAGAAAATATACTAGACGTGTATTTATAAACCTTTCAAAAACTCATTAATTAATAATTCATGAGGAAAACACAAAGAGAAATCATAAGCGTGACGTGTCTTTATATGTGATAAAACACGCTTCAAATTTCAACTTGTATTTTCTCAGCAAATACAAAGTTATTTTGGAAAATTATTTCGCCAATGCCGTGATCTAACTGAGACGTTTTTGAAGCTGTTTAATAAACTCGTAGTTCGTGTTTTATCACATATAAAACACTCCGCTACGCGTCGTGTTTTATATGTGATAAAACACTCCTACTCGTTTATTAAACATTACGTTGTCCTGTTCTAGGTTCCAGTTCAGTTGGGGAAATTTTTAATCCTGGCTATGACTGTTCAGACATTCTAGACAGGAACGTTGATGCTAAGGATGGATATTATTGGATCCGTTTTGCTGGTGATGTTCCGAAGCAGGTTAGTAAGATTTGGTTTACGGCGGTACGTCGCCATATGTCACTCAAAGACATAAAACCTTTCTGTAGAGACAAGAGATCAAATTCCGCATATTTACATAGACAACGTTAAAATATGATTGGTCAGAATTGTGATACGATTACTAAATATGGAATTCAGCTGCACTAATAAAGGTTATTATAAAAGTGGAAGGGGGCAGGGAGGGTGGAGGGGAGGAAGTCAGTTCGGTAATATCCTCATGTTTTGCGCACGAATATATATTTCTCTTTGTCAGTCTTTGATCTTGCTCCAATCCCAGCCCCTTCTCTAACCCTTCGGTGCTTGGCCAAGTCAAACTGGAAAGACCCTCCTTACATGCGACTAAGGCGAAATCATAAGCAATAGACAACCACATTTTCCCCGTGCGCCCAGGAAATTCCCCTTTTAATTTCTTCCCTCTCCCTCCCCCTCCTGGGTCCCGAATGTCCTAGGCTAGGAATCATCGCCCCCTTTGGGAATTTTGCCTCCCCTTGCAATCGCGAACATAAGTTGGAATCGTAAATACCATTCTTACCTGGCATGCAACAGCACACAGCATATTTCGAACGCTTTTTTCGTCTCTGGTAACATAATTACCCGAAGCTAGTATTGGTACGTCATGAATAAGTAATACATGCAGCTATATTCCAAACAGTTTATATACAAGTAAAATACAACATTAACATTACTCAATAGCCATTAACCAATAAAAAGATGAACACCAGGTATTCCACATGCAGGTAGAAATTCTTTCTGCTTTTACTTAATATAAAGCCAATAATTGAGATTATTAATTATGGACGATAACGACGAAGTAATAGTGAGGCGGATATGTGTAAAATTATTGATCAGTAGTTCCCGTTGAGGTTAAAAGCATCAAACTTTTACAATTGATGTAGTTTTATTTGCTTAATAGATATTTGAAGTGCGGCCATCGCTATTTTGCTGCTAACTCCTGAAAACGGGTGATTACCCTGGTAGAAATCTTATTTAAGATCCTACAAGATCCTATAAGATCCTATAAGATCTTACAGGATCCTATTTAGGAACAAGATCTTATTTAAGATCCTATTTAAGATCTTATTTAAGATCTTTTCTTATTTAGGATCCTAAAATTTCTTAAAAGATATAATCAAGATCTTAAAATTTTCTTAAAAGATATAATCATGATCCAAAACTGATTGTAATGGACTCTAATCAGGATCCTAACGTTTTGTTAGATGATTTAATCAGAGTCCTTGAGTTTTCTTATACGATTTTATCTGGATCTTAAAGTTTTCTTATAAGACTTAGTCAGGATCCTAAAGTTTTCTTATAAGATTTAATCAGGATCCTAAAGTTTTCTTACACGATTTAATCAGGATCTAAAAGGTTTTTACAAGATTTAATCAGGATCTTGAAGGTTTCTTACAGGATTTAACCAGGTTCTTAAGGGTTTCTTACAAAATTCAATCAGAATCCTAAAGGTTTCTTATAAGATTTAATCAGGATCTTAAAGTTTTCTTATAAGATTTTATCAGGATCTTGAAGTTTGCTTATAAGATTTAATCAGGATCCTAAAGTTTTGTTATAAGATTTAATCAGGATCTTAAAGTTTTCTTACAAGATTTTATCAGGATCTTAAAGTTTTCTTATAAGATTTCATCAGGATCTTAAAGTTTTCTTACAAGATTTAATCAGGATCGTAAAATTTTCTTATAAGATTTTATCAGGATCTTAAAGTTTTCTTATAAGATTTCATCAGGATCTTAAAGTTTTCTTACAAGATTTAATCAGGATCTTATAATTTTCTTATAAGATTTTATCAGGATCTTAAAGTTTTCTTATAAGATTTAATCAGGATCTTAATGAAAGGTTTCTTACACGATTTAATCAGGATCTTAAAGTTTTCTTATAAGATTTTATCAGGATCTTAACGTTTTCTTACAAGATTTAATCAGGATCTTAAAGTTTTCTTACAAGATTAATCAGGATCTTAAAAGTTTTCTTACACGATTTAATCAGGATCTTAAAGTTTTCTTATAAGATTTTATCAGGATCTTAAAGTTTTCTTACAAGATTTAATCAGGATCTTAAAGTTTTCTTACAAGATTTAATCAGGATCATAAAGTTTTCTTACATGAGGATCTTATAGGATCTTACAAGATCTTATAGGATCCTCTTTAGGAACAAGATCTTAATTAGGATCCTATAGGATCTTAATTAGGAAAAATGGATGGTTTAGGATCTTAATTTCAAGCAAGATCCTACTTAGGATCCTTAAAGGTCCTACTTAAGATCCTAAGATCCTACTTAGGATCCTAATTCAGGATCTTAACATAATTTCCTATAAGATATAATATGGATCTTAACATTTTCCTATAAGATTTACCTAGGATCTTAACAATTTCCTATAAGATCCTATATGGATCTTAGTATTTTCCTATGAGATATATACTATGGATATTAACAATTACCTGTAAGATATAATAGAATTTTGACATTTTCCTAAAGATATAGTATGGATCTTAACGTTTTCCTATAATATTTACTCAGGATCTTAACAATTTCCTATAAGATCCTATATGGATCTTAGTATTTTCCTATAAGATATACTATGGATATTAACAATTACCTGTAAGATATAATAGAATTTTGACATTTTCTTAAAGATATAGTATGGATCTTAATATTTTCCTATAATATTCACTCAGGATCTTAACAATTTCCTAATTTAAAGATATATTACGGATCTTAACAATTTCCTACAAGATTCACTCAGGATCTTAACAATTTCCTACAAGATTATCGCAGGATCTTGACAATTTCCTACAAGATTTACTCAGTATCTTAACAATTTCCTACAAGATTCACTCATCAGGATCTTAACAATTTCCTACAAGATTTTCGCACG